TGTTTTCAAAAAAGAGGCACAAAAGTAGGATAAAGAATGACAAGATATTACGCTGGAGGATGGAACTATCGTGTTATGACTTTGATATTCTGTACCGACCGGGTCAAGAGAACATCTCACCTGATGCATTCTCTAGGTCCCACTGTGGAGCAGCATGTCATGATTTGCAATCACTCTCAGCTCTCCACAAGGCTTTGTGTCACCCAGGAGTTACACGCCTGTACCATTTTGTCAAATCAAAGAACATGCCCTACTCAGTGGAAGATGTGCGACAAGTGATCAGAGCATGCAGAGTATGTGCAGAGTGCAAGCCAAACTTTCATCAGCCAGAGAAGACTCATCTCATAAAATCCACCCAGCCTTTCGAAAGATTGAATATAGATTTCAAAGGACCTCTACCAAGCACAAATCAGAATAGGTATTTCCTTAACATAGTAGATGAATATTCAAGGTTTCCCTTTGTATTCCCTGTGCAAATATGGCTGCTTCAACTGTTATTAGTTGTCTTTCACAGTTGTTCTCTATTTTTGGTATGCCAGCTTATATCCATTCAGACAGGGGATCCTCGTTCATGAGTAACGAACTTCAGGAGTTTTTGGCTAGCAAAGGTATTGCCTGCAGCAGAACAACAAGCTACAACCCTCAAGGCAATGGTCAAGTGGAGCGGTTTCAATGGTACTATATGGAAGGCAGTTACAATGACATTAAAGTCGCGCAATCTACCTGTTCAACACTGGCAAACTGTCCTACCTGATGCTCTTCACTCTATTAGATCACTGCTGTGCACAGCTACTAATGCAACCCCTCATGAAAGACTCCTCAACTATTCACGTCGTTCCTCTACGGGAGCCTCCGTGCCCACTTGGTTATGTCATCCTGGACCCGTTCTCCTGAAGAGTCACCGTAGGATGAACAAGACGGATCCTTTAGTGGAAGAGGTAGAGCTCCTGCAAGCTAATCCACATTACGCCCACATTCGCTACCAAAATGGTGAAGAGACTACAGTATCTACAAGACATTTAGCCCCAGTTGAAATCCTATTAGTGTGGATCTCAAGATACACACAATAGATGTGAAAGATGCTTCGTTTTCTCCTGGAAAGCCCCTTGAGACTACCCCTATGGAAATAGAGGATTCTGCTCCAGCAGTTAATCAAACCCCGCTGGAAAATATCGAACCTGGTGAAGAGGCTCAAGGGCTACGAAGGTCGGGACGTGTACGTTCGCCCACCTAACAGTTTGGGAGATTACTGTCTCTGATATTTTAGAAGGGGGAGATTGTAGTGATACTGGTCCTGTGGGGAGCAGCAGCAGGATAATACTGCACCACCTCTAGGGGCCCTTAACAACAACAACAGTTTGGTGTGTGTCATGGGCACCAACACATGGTGTGTGATTCTCTCCTACTTTATCCATTTATCAGCGATGCAGATTACATGGTGAGTTTAAATATGTGGCCTGTAGTTATAACTTTTCTCTTGACATATGCAAGACATCACCATCCCTGTAGAAGCCATTATTAGATGTACTAGTCATTATATTTTGTTGTTGCAGAAGTACTATGAAGATTCTATGTTCAATAAAGCCTAGAGATAAGGCCTGTGTTTCTATCACAACAGGTATATATATATATATTATAGAACAATAGTAATAAAAATTTTTGTATTTGTTTTTGTAAACATTTTTTTTAAACAATATATTGATAATTATGTTTGTGTGCTTACTGTGTTGTATACAACAAGTGTATATATGTACATTGCACCTTACTTTGGTCTCACAGGCCACATGAGTTATGTGAAAAAATAAATAGTGAAAAAAACAACAAACCTTCAAATACAATTAAACCAAAGTTTACTGGGTGAGTGGCAGTCGCCGCTGTTGCCATATGCGGCTCATTTTCTGCAAACTTACACTTCTATATTTCGGTAAGTACTGATGGGATTTTTTTTTTTTACAAAACAATCAGAAAAATAATCTTAACATTTTCATAAGAAAAAGTTTTTTTTTTTCAAATATTTTGCAACACCAGGAGACACTTCAGGATTGGGCCTTTCAACAGTCAAAGGGTTAAATAGCTCCATTGCACGACCAGTTGCAACTTTCTCGGGGGTATTTCATTGCAATAAATTCTGAAAGTCTCTCCCAGAATCCCAACTTTTAAATCTATCTCACTTGTAGACATTACCCTCCACGATACGAATGTCCTTCAAAACTTCGTGATGCTGCAGCACTCCATCGCCCAGCTCCTGGGAGTGCACGCTGATAAGCTCGTTCACATCTTCATCCACCTCCTTGCCCATGGACTTTCCGAGGGACACGATCTCGTCCACCACTGCCACTTTGGATTTGAATCCTTCAGTTATGTAAGTCCTTCTTGGATTTCCAGACAAGCCCTGCCTGTCACAGTTGAAGACTTGCTGAGGATGTATTCTTCAGCTGCTATCATTTCAGCAAAGTTTTGAGGAAATCCTCAGCTGCCTTCACATCAGAGCTTGCTCCCTTCCATGCCTGATGACAGAATAATGCTGGCCCTCCTTTTAAAATTGTCGAACCAGCCCTGAGTGGCTTTTAATGACTTTTCCAATGCCTTGTCCTTGAAGTGCCGGGGGTCTGCTGCAGCAAATCAGTGTAAATGCCTCATTCCTTCTCGTAGATGATACCCTCAGTCACTATATCTCCTGCGAGCTGCTTCTCCCCTCAACCACGTCAGCAGGACGTGGTTAGAAACAAGAAATTTTGCAAAATAACTGCACGAAATGTAAGGAAAGTGCAAGAATTCCCTCCACCGCGAGTGGAGTGGCAGTGATTGCTTCATACATACTGCCATCTCGTGGCGGAAATTTGGAAACTCACTTATAATATACGGTACAACAAGGTTACTACCAGGGTAAAAAGGTTGCTACTAGGGTACTTCATGTTTCCAATTGGGCCCACCACTCAGGGGTTTTTAAGTTTCCAGTACCAAAACTCACCAAATTGCTTCACTAGACGCTCTGTCATCTCTGATCACCCTTTTTTATACCTCTATGGCACCCGTATCCCTGAATGTGATACAGTCAGGTTTCTAGGCCTCCTCTTTGACCGTAGGTTTTATCCTGGAAACCTCACATTACCCTCTGAAGACAACTTGTCACAGCTGGCTGAACCTTTTTAAAAACCCTTGCTCATCTTTCATGAGGAGCTGATCGTCGAACTCCCCTTTTCGCTTACATTCCACCCTCATTTTATCGAAACTTGTTATGGTGACCAGATCTATCCCTGCCTCTCCTGCTACTCTATCTAGCCTAAACCCCCCATTCATCACCAAGGATTACGTTTATGCCTTGGTGCTTTTCGCTCTTCCCCTGTTGAGAGCCTCTATGCAGAAGCAAATTTTTCCATCCTTATCCGATTGCCATGATGCCCATTGCCTTTGCTACTATGTACGTTTCATGATCTCCGCATTCCTTCCATTTATAGAATGGTCATCGAATGTAGACATTCTTTATTTGTTTCCCAAACCCCTGTTTACCCGTCCCTTCTCTCTTCACCTACATTCGCTCTCGTCTTCCCTCTTCAATTTCCACCTTTCTATTTTTCATGTAGCATCTCACTTTTCCCTCCCCCCTGGAAGTTCCAGCTGTTCGAGTCTTTTCCCTTTCTCACTCCCTTGCTCGAAAGCCCAACTGTCTAGGGTAGCTTCCCGTCTCTTTTTCTTGACCACTTCCACTCTCATTCTCATGCCATTGCAGGGGTTAAACAGATGGCTCTAAGTCTTCTGACAGCGTTGGATTCGCAGCAGTGTTCCCGGACAGCGTCGAAACTAGGGCATTTACTATCTTCGGCTAGTATCTTTACTGCTGAATTGTATGCCATTTTGCAGCACTTACCCGTATTGCATCTGTGCCTGTGTCATCATTTTGGTGTTGTCTCAGCCTCCCTTACTGTTTTAACAGGCTATACAGAAATTTGATACACCTCACCCCTTAGTCCTCTGCATCCAACTTTGGCTATCCCGCATGTTTTTTGTTGGGCCCTGGTCATGTTGACGTACAGGGCAATGAACAGGCAGACACTGCTGCGCAGTCAGCAGTATATGACCTACCCGTTTCATATAGAGGTGTTCCATTTACGAACTATTTTTTCTGCAATAGCTACCCACCTCACACCCGTTGGCAACAACGTTGATCTACTCTACTCGGTAACAAACTTCAGTCTATTAAACCGAGTATAGGTTACTGACCATCTTCTTGTCACCAGGCCGAGGTTGGGAGACTACTGTCTCGTATCTTCGCATTGACCATACTCGTCTTACTCATGGATAATTTGTGGAGAGGTTGCCCTGCCCTCTCTGTGAGAATTTCAGTTCCATTATCGGTCAGCCACATTCTGTTAGACTGCCCACTTTATCAACGAGCACGCAGAAATTACCTCCAACGTCATCTTCATTCCACATGCTCTCTCTTTACCTTCCTTCTCGCTGATGGACCCACCTTTCATCCGGACTCTCTCATTGACTTTTTTACAACTGACTTCACGAACTCTGATGATACCTTCAGCCCTTTCTACCCAATCTCTTGCTACCCTCTATCCCTGCACTATCCCTGCCCCACTGTTTTCTGTAACCTACTGATCGCCCCTCCCCTTCTGCTGCCCAATACCCTCGCTTCCTTCCCTACCTGCAGTGTTGTATAGCCCTTGTGGCTTAGTGCTTCTTTTTTGTTTATAAAAAAAATAATACTAAGGTACTACAAAGTTGCTAAACCCGGGTACAATAAAGTTGCTTCCAGGGGACTACAAAGTTGCTATCAGGGTACAAGGATGCTTCCAGGGTACAATAAGGTTGCTACTAGGATACAAAAGAGTTGCTACCAGGGTACAACAAGGTTGCAACCAGGGCACAAAGTTGTTACCAGGTACAAGGAGGTTGCTACCAGGGTACAACAAGGTTGCTACCATGGTACTACAAAGTTGCTACCAGGGTACAATAAAGTTGCTTCCAGGGTATACAAAGTTGCTATCAGGGTACAAGGATGCTACCCGGGTACAATAAGGTTCTACTATGATACCAAAGAGTTGCTACCCGGGTAAAAACAAGGTTGCAAACCCGGGTACAAAGTTGTTACCAGGGTACAAGGAGGTTGCTACCAGGGTACAACAAGGTTGCTTTCCATGGTACTACAAAGTTGCTACCAGGATACAATGAAGTTGCTTTCTAGGGTACAACAAAGTTGCTACAATAAGGTTGCTAACTAGGGTATAACAAAGTTGCTACAATAAGGTTGCTACTAGGGTATAACAAAGTTGCTACCAGGGTACAACAAGGCTGCTACCAGGGTACAAAGTTGTTACCAGGGTACAACAAAGTTGCTACCAGGGTACAACAAGGTTGCTACCATGGTACTACAAAGTTGCTACCGGATACAATAAGTTGCTACTAGGGCACAACAAAGTTGCTACAATAAGGTTGGCACTAGGGTATAACAAAGTTGCTACCCCGGGTACAACAAAGTTGCTACCAGGGGACAACAAAGTTGCTACCAGGGTACAACAAAGGTTTCTACCAGGGTACAACAAAGTTTTCTACCAGGGCACTACAAAGTTTCTACCAGGGTATAAGGTTGCTACCAGGGTACAATAAAGTTCCTTCCATTGCACAACAAGGTTGCTACCAGGGTACAATAAGGTTGCTACCAGGGTATGACAAGGTTGCTACCAGGGTACAATAAGGTTGATACCAAGGTTCAGGTTCGAACTGCACAATGGATTAAATTCTTTACTTTATGACCCACTTCCTCTACTCCTATCTTTTTGACCATAGTATTGGCAAGGCACTCCTACGCCATGTTGGTAGAGATATATCCTTCCATGCTCTCAAGAGTGGTACTCGCATGATTGCTGTCCAGAATGCTAACCAAGCTCGTGACCTTTCTCTTCTTTCACATCCTCTTCAAGGGGGGCTCCTTGGCATGGTGAAGAGGCTCTTGGTCTGAGGAATTAGCCCTGTCAGTCTTCTTCCTCAGACCGAACCTAATTACCCCCCATTCTCCCCTCCCCTATCCCATCCTCCCCATCTCCCCTTTTTCCATTCCTCCTCCTCCTCCTCACCCCTCCCTTTTGCCCTTCCTCTTTTTGGCCTTTGGGATTTCTCCCACAGGCGCGCTAGTTCCTAGGTAGGGGAAAGGACACCGGGGTCCATCCCATTCCGTTGAGGTTCTTGGCGGTGGCGTAGTTTGCCGTGGAATCTGGATTGCCTGGGGATGTCCCGATCCCCCCTCCGGTATCCCGGAGTAGTTTTGGGGTGTCTTTCGGGCGATGGGTGTATCTCTGGAAGCCACCTTTCGGATTCCAGGGGTGGTGGCCGAAGGAGGTATGCTTTGTGGCGGATATCCGGCCGCCCTCTTTTTTGTCCACCGAGGTAGCTCGGCAGATGTGAGGTTGCTATCCCGGATTGCTGGTTTACTGGCATGAAGGGTAGGGTATGGCACGGGTTCCATGCTGCATCTGTGCTACTAGCGGTGTTGAGGTCCTCTTGGGCGCGGAGGGAGATTTCCGGCCCTTTCATTCCTCCTGGAACTATTCCTCCCGCTCCCCCCTTTTTTTATTCTTTTTTTTATTTTTATTTTCTTTTCTTCTTTCTTTTTTTTTCTTAAAAAGAAAAAGCAAAGGAGCAACCTAACCATGGCAGCCCTAGTCCATGAACCCACTACTCCCAGGCCCCTTCTTGATACCACACCCCATTCTGACCCTGCCTTGTGTTTAGACCACTCTTCGGACACTCCTGATGCCCCTGTACCTCTTGCTGGTGCTGTTTCCTCACCCGCTTCAGGTACCGGGGCTTCGACTGACTCCTTCGATTTGTCTGAACTCCGCTCTCCTTTGACTATGCTTCCGGCTTCTCCCTCTACGGTACGGCAATTTTCGAATCGCCCGCCCATTTCACGCCGGACCAACTCCGGTCCTACTCCTAAATGCCAACGTCAATCTCCTGATGATGCTCCTTCGTTACCTTCCCATTCTACTCGGAAAAGACCGACACGTCAAGCACTCCCTCTCCACGCTCAGTTTCAGACCACACAATGGACTAAATTCTTTACTTTAAGACCGACTTCTTCTTCTGCCTACCTTTCTGACCATAGTATTGGCAAAGCGCTCCTGCGTCATGTTGGCAGAGATATTTCATTTCATGCTCTCAAGAGCGGTACGCACATCGTCACTGTCCAGAATGCTACCCAAGCTCATGATCTTTCTCTCCTTTCGAATATCGATACTACTCCTATCACTATTGAAAAACATCTATCTCTCAATTCTTGTAGTGGTACTGTCATTCTGCCCCATACCATAGTCCAACAGAATTTCCAGTCATGTGGCAATGACATTTTTGAACAGCTGGAACTCCAGGATCTACCAATCCTCAAAGTAGACACTTATGTCCTTC